GTATTAAATAAAAATAAAATATGTAATATTAAATAAATATATAAAGTTTTAGCTTGTTTGGATTTCAGTTATACCACAGAATCTCCAGAATTACAATTGCGTCGCTTAGGTGATTTATGTTTTATGTTTGGTCACTATTCACTTGCTTACCAAACATATCATAGTGCAAAAAGAGATTTTGCAGCAGATCAAGCTTGGCTTTATTATGCAGGTGCTCTTGAAATGGCTGCTTTAAGTGCATTCATGCAAGGTGAAACTAATAGAAAGACTATTGAATATATGGATGATGCAATATTAACTTATTCAACTAGTTGCAAAATGCCTCAATTTGCAACAAGAGCAACGTTACTCAGTGCAGAATGTTTAAAAGGTAGAAATTTATATGGAGAGGCTGCTAAACAATTAATTCGTATGACTAGTGAAGATTCAGATTTGCGTTCTGCACTCTTATTAGAACAAGCTGCTTATTGTTTTATTGGACCAAAAATGGTGCGCAAGTATGCATTTCATGCTGTTCTTGCTGGTCATCGATTTTCAAAAGCAGGTCAAAGAAAACATTCTTTACGATGTTATCAACAAGCATACCAAGTATATTTAGTTGATTTCCAATATTCTTTTATTATGTTAAATAAATAAATTGTTTACATTTATATTTTTTCTTAGATATACAATGAAAGAGGTTGGTCATTAGCTGAAGATCATATACATTTTACAATTGGTAGACAAGCTGCATCATTGAAACAAGTTAGTGAAGCAGTAAAAGCATTTCAAAAATTACTCAATGCTTATAGTAAACAACCAGGTATACAACAAGCTGCATTTTTACGTGAATTTTTACATATCCATAATGTATGTATAAATTTATATATTATTATTTATTTATATTATTATTATACATATTCTTAATTTCATGATATTTCTGTATATATATAATTGATTGTCATATTAATTACATATTATAGTTACTGTTGCAGGAAGGTTTATCAAATCGTCATGAGCTTCCTATCTTGCCTTTGCCATTAATAGATAGTAATGATATTAAAGTACTTTTTGGTCCTATAGCTAAATCATATGAAAATAATATTCCAGCAAGTCATGTTTCATTTAATACTGAAGACTGTGATGATGTAAGATGGTCAAAAATGGAAGAAATGTTAATAACAGAAGCTCAAGGATCTCCTCCTATGATATTCAAACCTACAATTGCATTATATTCTAAAACAAGTAATAATAGCGTAAAACCAAATGCAGTTTTAAATGAACCAGTGCATTTTTTTATTGAATTATATAATCCATTACACATACCATTACCATTGTCCAACTTAACTCTGTTATGGTCATTTACGTCCTCCAATGGACAAATTACGAATGAAATGAAATCATCAGAAAATTTACAATTAGTGGAAACACAAGCAATCGAAAAAATTATTTTACAACCTATTACCAAGCAAGGCATTATACTATATCTTATACCAAAAAAAATAGGTGAATTAAAAGTATTAGGTGTAAGTTATGATTTATCTAATCCAACTCATATAATAGATCCACCAATTGTTAATCCAACAATAGCTATTACTGGAAAAAGATTATTTGAAATTAAAGGACCTAGATTAAAAAATATTAAAGAAAAACCTGGTACAAATATATATGGTGTAGATTATAGATTAGAAATGAATATTATTGAAAAAGCTCCCTTTATGCAGGTATTAAATATTCAAATACAATTATATATAAAGTATTTAAAATTGTGCATTATATTGATACAATGTAGTTAACAAAAATTTACTTTTAGATTTTCTTTAGTAAATTATCTTCAGAAATGTTATGTGGTGAAATTCAAAAAATAGATATTATATTGAAAAATGTAGGTAATTCGTCACTAACAAATATTTTTTTGGCCTCTACAGATGCTAAACTTTTTTCATTAGGAGATGAACATATAAATATACAAGAAAGTAAATATAATACATATTTCATTCAATAATTAAAATAATTGAATACCAATATTATATTAATATTTTATTCATGATTTCAGAACATATGACAAAAAGAAATAATAGACTCATATTAAAAATTCCATTATCTTCTAATAATAATATATTAAATATTGGAGAAACACATACAATACCATTTTGGATTCGAGCACCTCATGAAAAGGGAATTCATTATTTAGATTTACTCTTTTATTATGAAAATATTGATCCAAAAAGCATGATGAAATATCGACTTTGTAGACATACTTGGCATTTTACAGTTTTGGATTCTATACAAATTAGCTCAATTGCTTCAAGAAGTACATTATTTAAAGATATTTCGCCTACATTAAACTTAATAATATGCATTAAAAATGCAAATCAAATTCATGATTTAATTACGAATGAAATTTTATTGTACAAAGTATTGTTTCAAAGTGATACTTGGTCTATATTTGATTTATCCATTTTATCAACAAATATTAAGATACAAACTCAAGAAGTATTTCATTTGATGCTAAAATTAAAAAAAAAAAAACAAAATGAATCTAAGTTTTCTGATATATCTTTAACTCAAGAAAATGATTATATTGAATCAGATATAAGTTATCCATACATAGATTTTATACGAAGAAAGGATATTCCATCATTAGATATCAATGAAAATGTAACTGAAATACAACAATGTCAACGATTATCACAAAGTATAGAACAAAAGTCTTTATTTGCTACTATGACATTAAATTCTACTTTAATTCTTAAATGGCGGGCAAAGATAATTAAAAATGGAATTATTACAAAACAAGCAATTGGTCAACATCATCTTGATATACAATATTTAAATAAAACTTATAAACATCCAAAAGAAGTTCAAATTGAATCAAATGAAGATGCTGGTCGTTTGAAGATTTTTGGACCTGATAGAAATATATTCGATTCTTTGGCTGTAATTAATAAAGAACAAGCATCAGAATCAGAATTTTTGAAAAATATAATTTCTTTTTCTTTAAATCATGATAGAGAAATCAAGCATAATTTTCATCAAAATCGATTGTGTTTCCTTCCAGTAATAATGTATATACAGAATCATTTAGAATCAAAAATTGATATTAAAATCAATACAATAGGTACTAGCAGGTAAAATATTTATTAAGAATAATTTAAAAAAATTTATATACATATTATTTATTAATTTATTAATTTATCTTATATTTTTTTAGTGAAAGTCATCTTCCAAATATAAAATCACAATTATATTCTCCACAAGCTTCTACATATTATAGATATGCTTGCCATTCAGCGATTTGTTCTCATGTAGAACCAATGATGAGCAATACTATAAAATTACAAGCTGTATTTTCAACCCCTGGAACATATGATCTAGCAGCACGTATAGAAATCTTTGCAAGAATTGTAAATACTAGAGAATTTATTTTGCAAAAATGGAAAATGGAAAGCATATGTATTATTAATAGTGATAGTAAATAATTAAAAAAAAAATAGAGATATTATAATTATTATTATTATTATTGTTATTATTATTCTGTTACTATTACTATTACTATTACTATTACTAGTATGCTGCTTTTAATATATCTAGTATCATTACTACTATTAGTAAATAATATAATAAATTTTGTTTATGTAACTTAAAATCACTTTCATATTATGTACATATATAATATTTATCAAATTATTACATTTTGAAAATAGAATATATATTATTTAATATGCATTTCATTTTCTAATAAGTAAAACTATGTTTTTAAAAATATATTATTAATTGCTTGTTACAATATATAATATACAATATATAATAGTAGCTATTCTAGATAGAATAGTAATCTATAAAAAAATTATTGTAAATTACATTCTTATAAATTAATATAAAAATATGATGCTCAGTTGTAATTCATCACATAAATTTTAAAACTGTAACAAGAAAATTGTATCATATTTTTTGGACCAGCATTTCATATTTTTCAAATCAAAAAAAAAAATGAAAACTATAATTACGAAATGCTGTAAAAAATAAATGATTATAAATAAACAATAAATTTCTTACAATAAAAGTTAATCTCCTTATACAAAAACATAGTATAATGTCTATGCAGTACTATAATTAAATATAAAAATATATGTTTAAAAAAATATAAAAATAAATGTTTAAAAAATAATTATATTATGAATTTATTATATTATAAAATTGTATGATA